GGTTCGATTCCGATCAAGGGCATATGCGTTGGTTGTGGGCACATCCCCGGTGGGGGGGAGGTGCAAGAGGCAGCTGGTCGATGTTTCTCTCTCATCGACGTTTCTAGCTCTCTATCTCTCTCCCTTCCTCTCTGTAAAAAATCAATAAAATAAAATAAAAAATAAAAAAGAATAACACTGATGGAATAAAAAGAGAAAATTGAGTAAAAACAAGTCTCAGAAAAGTCAGATCTGAAGTTTTAGGTATTATACCAAACGAGCATTAGACTACTTCTCTCTTGTTTTTAATTTTTTAAAAATTTATTTTAGGGAGGAGGATAGAAAGATAGAAACATCAATCAACTGCAACATGCACACCCCTTACTGGAGATCAAACCTGCAACCTAGACATATGCCCTGACTGGGAATTGAACCACTGGGTTTATGCTCAACTGCTAAGCCACACCAGCTGGGCTACTTCTATTCTTATGTATACTAAAATGATTTTTAAAATTATGTCTAGTAAAGTCTAAATAAATCCTTCAATAAGATATAAAATATGCCCTGGTAATTTTTTTCAAGTGAAAAGCATTTTAATGTTTTTTAAAAACATTTATGCCCTTGTGTTGATCAATGTGGCTCCGTTGTCTGAGTGTCAGCCTGTGCACCGAAAGGTTGTTGGTTGGTTCCCAGTCAGGACACATGTCCAGGTGATGGGCTTGATCTTTAGGAAGGGGAGTGCAAGAGGCAGCCAATTGATGTTTCTCTGTCCTTCTCTCTTCCTCTCTCTCTAAAAATCAATTAAAATATTTAAAAAGAAAATACTCAAGCCCTTATCATAAAACACAGTAACAAATTGTTAATCTGACCTAAGCAAATTTTTAAAATGCTGTAAGCATTCACCCTCCTTTACAGTAAGTGTCCAAAGCAGTGCAATAATATTCGTTGCCCAAGACCTGTTGATCTATTTTAAACAGTATACCTTCCTGGCAGCCTGTGCTGTTTGTGGAATGACACAAAGGCACACCATGGCAATGCCACACAGAAAACATGGCAGCAGAACAACCACATTGATGGTGTGTGAAAATGTTCAAATAAAAAACATCAAGCCAAGTCAACCTTTGTATTCTTTTTTAATTTTAAAGAACAGTTTTGTGGTTACCCCCACACTTTCCTCTTCTTCAGATGATTTCTAAATTAACCATAAAAACCCTGTCTCCCAGGGGGATGAGGACAAATATGTGATACCCTAATCAATAAAGAAATTAAAAAAAAAATCCTGTCTCCCAACAGAAGGAAAGCTTTTTATAGTAAAACTAGAGGCCCGATGCATGAAATACATTCAAGGGGCTTGGCCCTTGCAGCCCCAGCTTCATCCTGAAGGTCATCTGGACAGTCGATCAGCTGTTAGGCCGTCTGGTATAATAAGCATATTATGCTCTTATTATTATAGATTATTATAGATATGGAGTCATCTTCTAGGGTTCCAAGATGTGCACCAGACAGAACATGTTTAGATAGCAAGGGCAACTTTTAATTTTAGTCTTAAATAGAATGCAAAGATGTCAGTGAGTAAGAATCATACATATAATTCAGAGCATTCATTGTTCTTTTATTCTTCTTTGAGATTCTTCTGGAGGTACATTTATAGATTTGTAAAACCTATGCCATTCTAGAACAAATCCTCCATCCCAGCTGGCATTGCTCAGTGGTTGTGCATCTATCTATGAACCAGGAGATCATGTTCAATTCCCAGTCAGGGCACATGCCTGGATTGTGGGCACAATTCCCACTGTGGGGCATGCAGGAGGCAGTCGATCAATGATTCTCTCTCATTATTGATGTTTCTACCTCTCTCTCTCCCTTTCCCTTCCTCTCTGAAATCAATAAATGTATTTTTTTAAAATAGAAAGAATCCCTCCATGAGGGCCCCAATTACAAAGTCACCCAAAGAACCTGGTGGAAACACTGGAAGAGTAGAGTTTAGGGAAAGGGTCAATCAAGTCAGTTGCTTCTTCCATTCTCAAGGATGGAAAAAATTAATTTCTGTCCCTTTAAGATAACTAAGAATGAAGAGAGCTTAGGAATTGTTTTTAAACTGTGAATAAGAAATAAGTGAGCTTCAAAACCCAATTACCTACACAAATATTCATAAAAGCATTATTCATAACAAAAAAGTATAATCAGATAAATGTCCCTCAATTGAAGTATGGACAAACAAAATGTGGTATATATGTATTCAATGGAATACTAGTTAGCAACGAAATGGAGTACTGATACATGCTACCACATGAATGAACCTTGAAAATGTTAAGTTAAGATTAAAAAGCCACTCACAAAAGACATATATTCTATGATTCCACTTATATGAAAGGAAATGTCCAGAACAGGAAAATCCACAGACAGAGAAAGTAAATTAATGGCTGTGTATGGTGGGGAGGGTTAAGAGGTGATTTCTTCATAAGATGTTGATATAGCTGAAAATTAGTTTATAGTCATGGTTGCAACAGCCCTGTGAATATACTGAAAAATATGTATACTAAATTTTACATTATGTGAAATTAACCTTTAAAAAACTCATTACTACCTGTTTGGTTTTAGAAAATAAAATGCACAAATGTAAGCTTAATTATATTACATAGGAAAAAAACTACATCAACATAAATATTAAATAATTCAATTATCTGCAAGTTCTTCAGCTAAAAGTTAAATAAGCTTTTTGTTTGTTTGTTTTTTTAAAGTTCTCATCCAACGATATATTTTCCATTGATTTTTAGAAAGTGAAAGAGGGGCAGGGGAGGAGAAAGAGAAACAGCAATGTAAGAGAGACATATAGATTAGTTGCCCTCTGCATGTACCCCAACCAGGTCTGGGGATCAAACTTGCAACCCAGGCACACGCCCTTGCAGGTTCAAACCTGCAACTCTTTGGTGCACAGCTCCAACAAGTGAACCACTCCTGCCAGGGCTAAATGCCTTTTAATCCTTGACCTATTGTCTAACATACCCAGATTCACCTGTGCAGTTTCTCTTTCTAGTGATTTCACATGTAGCACATCCTGAGGCAGTTGGAAAGAAGTCTGCATATATTTATATAACTAGAGGCCCAGTGCACAAAATTTATGCACAGGGGGTAGGACTGGGGGCGGGGGGGGCGTTTCAGCCTAGCCTGCATCCTCTCGCAATCTGGGACCCCTCAAGGGATGTTAGGCCTAAACCTGCAGTTGGACATCTCTCTCACAATCTGGATGCTGCATGCACTAGTGACCTTACTTTTCATACAGGTGAAAGGCATCTTGCTATTGTACGGGCAGCTACATTTTTTTGCCCTGATTATAAAAAGTAGTACATAACATGATCCTTCTGAGGCAGTAGTACCATTTTCCCCATCTTATGGGTAGAAAAATTGAGGCAGAGAGAAGTTAAGTAGTTGGCTTTGTCAAACGTTATAAGTGTCAGAATCAGGGCTGACCACAAAATGTGCATGCCAGAGTCCATGCATGTCATAGCTGCATCATCCTGGTTTTTCAGTGTTAGAGTAGCCTTGCCAGGTTTTAATTTTTAAATCTAAGAGACTGTTCCCAAAATATAGGGTAGGGTCTCGAGGCCTGGCCGGTGATCAGGTCATCTGTGGGGCAACTAGTGGGCTGGTGATCAGGGGGGTGGGCGTGGCTGGCACTCGCCTTGGCTGGTGGCCTGGCTCTGCCTGCTGGCCGGCCCCACCCCGATGGCAGCTGCTGGTCACCTCCCTCTGTGGGGGAAGTGGGATTGGTGGGGGAAGAATAGTGCATGTCATAATGACCAGTTGTTCTGCAAGGTTGTTCCACCATTTGGTTGATTTGCACATTAGGGTTTTATTATCTAGAATGGATTCAGAGTAGCTCTTCTGAAGCCTCAATCTAAGAGTGCATAAAACAAAGGCTGTATCAAAAAAGTTCTCAGAAAATAGTGTTTGGAATTGGTATAAACTAGTGGACCTGAGCTGCAATAAGACAACTGGCGGCACTTAGATGGCCATTCCCATTTGAGTCAACTTGAAGAGGTGAGCCCAGAAACCTGAATATTTAGATAAGCTCCTCTAGGAGGCAGACATTGCCAGGTAAGGGAATTATACTCCTGCTGATCACCACGTAGCTCACCCATAGGAAGGCAATCAAAATAAGAGAGGCACTACCCTTCGCTGCTTACATCGTCTTTGCTAACCTTAATTTCCTACAGATACACCTTCTTACAGAAAAATATGAGAAGTGATAATTTTTGAAGAAGAGTTAAAATCTTTTGAACACTATGAACATGGGATTAATAAACATATCAAACATGTTTTATATTCTGATAGGATGTAAAGAGTACTTTTAAATAGGGGATCATCTTTGATATATATACCGTATTTTCCGGCATATAAGACAACTTCTGAAATGGAAAAAAAAGTCAACTGAAAATTGGGGGCAAAAGACCAAAATTGCACAAAAATTACCTGCAGATCTTGACAGCAAAGTAAGTCTTTTCTTTGAAGTGGAGGGTAGTCTTATAAAGCGAACATAGGCCTAAATCTATGTTTTAACTGTAAAATTAGGGGATCGTCTTATACGCCGGAAAATACGGTAGTCTTTAAAATACAATCTTTTGTCTCTAGTCAAGAGAATAGAGACTTAGAAGTGATATTTAAATTGAATTTAATCAAACACAAAGTGTCATATAACTTCCACCTTCCCAGAAATAGTCATTTCACCTTATTTAAAGACATGGAAATTATTGTGACTTAAGTCTTCATTCTAGAATATGAGTGTTTGGACAAGTTAGGCACACAGCAAAGAGTTAGAAGTTCTACCACCAGAACAGCATTTTGAAAATGCTAAAGCCAACTCAATTCTCCATCCAGCAATTCAATAAGAACTGCTAAAATTTAGTTTAATTAGGCCTCGACTCTGGATACTCTAGGTGTTTGGTATCTATGACTTTGGGGTCATTACATTCTTCCCTGGAGAGCTGTCCATGATACACAAGCTCTTCTTTCTGAGTCATTCAGTTCGCTTGGGCAACTCTACTTTCGGGATCAAGGAAGCTCAACATTGTGGTCACCAGCTCTGGAAGGTCAAAATCATGTTTCCATCCCCAGTCCTTACGAGCATTGCTGTCATCGAAGTTCATCGGCCAACTCTCCGCTAGGAAAAGGTACAGAAAGAGTAGGGTAAGGTTTTCAGGCTCTAGAATTGCAAAAAGGCCTAGAACACTTTATGTAATAGTCTATCATACAAGGTACCATAAGAGAAATTCCCCCTTTGAGCAGACCAGAGCAGCTGCTATGCGCATACACAGTCGCTCTCTTAGATTAGAAGATTGTATTATACATCTACTGTCAGACACTGTGAATTGTCACATACTATTAAAATTTCACACAAGCTCATAAGATATGAATCTTATAGGCAAAGGCTGTGGTAGGCAAACTGCCACATGCAGCTCTTCATCCCCTTGAGTGTGGCTCTCCCACAAAATATCACGGCCTGGGCAAGTCTATTTAAAGAAGTGGCATTAGAAGTTTAAGTTTAAAAATTTGGCTCTCAAAAGAAATTTCAATTGTTGAACTGTTGATATTTGGCTCTGTGGACTAATGAGTTTGCCAATCACTGGGCAAAAATGCCCAGGGCCACAGAGTGGCACGGTCATGGCATTTGAAAATCGAGGGCTCCTTTCCTGCCATGTCTGCTTGTTACATGTTGAAACTGTAAGACGGTGAAATGCTGACAAGCTGTTTATTTGGAATGAAACTATTCCACCCACTTTAGATATCATCTCCCAAAATGGCAGCATCTGAGGGCTTTGACTCAACAGCTCCTTCTCCAGAAGGTGCCGGGACCCCCAGGAAGGCTTCATGCTCTACTTATCCTCTGAGGATGATGTCCCCAAGGGACTCAGTGCAGAGTGAAGCTTAACCTTGGTTTGAAGGGGTCTGCAAAGATGTACCAACCTATGGCCTGTCGAACAGAATCCACTTTGTACGTGATCTGGAATTCCGGCATGTGCTTAAGAACCTCCTGGGCCAGCTCTTCGGGGCAAAAGCTCATGGCATTGATGTTGTAGGTCCGAAGAGAGAGGGACTCTGCCGGGGCCTCCATGACTTCCAGGGTGGCCCTGAGGCAGTCATCAATGTACATCATTGGGAGCCTCGTGCTGGGTTTCAGATAGCACTCATACTTGCCATTCTTTATGGCATCGTGGAAAATCTGGACTGCATAGTCTGAAAGAAAGTCCTGTCAGTAGCTCTTCTTAGAACAAAATCATGAGTGAGTCTCTTGGATTAAGGCAGTGGTTCTCAAACATCTTAATCTCCTCCGAACCTCTCTATTCTCTCTCTCTCTCTCTCTCTCTCTCTCTCTCTCTCTCTCTCTCTCTCTCTCTCTCTCTTTTTTAATGTATTTTTATTGATTTCAGAGAGGATCGGAGAGGGTGAGATGGATAGAAACATCAATGATGAGAAAGAATCGGTCAGCTGCCTCCTGCACACCCAACACTAGGGATCAACACCACAACCCAGGCATGTGCCCTGAGTGGGAATTGAACCGTGATCTCCTGGTTTATAGGTTGACACTCAGCCACTGAGCCATGCCACCAGGGCCCTCTCTGTGCTCTTTAAAAAAACCGCTGAGGACCTCCAATGAGATATTTTTCATGTGAATTATATTAATATTTACCGTATCAGGAATTAACTGAGAAAAATGTTTAAATATTACATTTTAAAATGACAATAACAGACAATTATATATTCATATGTATAACATTCTATATGAAAAAGGAGGTATTTTCCAAACAAAACAAAAAAAATTTAGTGAGGAGAATGGCATGTTTTATGCTTTAAAAAATCTCTTTACTGTCTGGTTAAGGGAAGACCACTGTCCCCTATCTGCTTCTGCATTCAGTCTGCTGTGCTACTGCACATCATGTAGCCTTGGGGAAATGCCACAGTGTACTTGGAGAGTGAAAAGGACAAATAACAGCTTACTCTTGATATGACAATAGTTTTGGACTCTTGGGCCCTTTGAAAGGGCCTCAGGGATACACAGGGGTTCCCATACTTGGAGAAGCACCACTCTAATGCAAGGGTGTTTTAATTAATTAATAATGTTAATATTGACTTGTTGTTCCACCTAGCCATGCATTCACTGGAATGTGCTCTGACTGGAGATTGAACCTCCAATCACCTGAGCTATCCAGCCAGGACTTGGCAAAAGCTATTTAAAAGTAACCAAAACCAGCCGAAGCCAGTTTGGCTCAGTGGTAGAGCGTCGGTCTGCAAACTGAAAAGTCCCAGGTTCGATTCCGATCAAGGGCATGTACATTGGTTGAGGACACATCCCCGGTAGGGGGTGTGCAAGAAGACAGCTGGTCGATTTTTCTCTCTCATCGACGTTTCTAGCTCTCTATCTCTCTCCCTTCCTCTCTGTAAAAAAATTAATAAAATATATTTTTTTTAAAAAAAGTAACCAAAACCAAAGCCTCTTTTAAAATCCCTTAGATTTTTCAAGTATCTTTTATAGTGTATCTCAGGACCCTTCATATGAGAAAGAATTCTAATGTAGGAGCTAGGAAATATAATGTGTGCTTGAGCCCAAATGAATAATAATCATGGTGATGCTTATTTCCTTCTAAATATGTCTTCCTACACTATGAGTAACAAATTTGTTCCTGAATATTAACCGTTTGATTCCAGCACTGTGCACCAAGTGGCCCATCCTAGCTGGGTTTCCAACACCAGCATAAGCTGCCCTTAGCAAGTGTAAGTCAATAGTGTTCCATGAGCTTCTCAGATGTACTTCCTGAAGAGGATTCAGAAACTCCAGTCAGCATACCTCTAAAGAGACAGCAGATCCATCACACTATTCCCTATCTTACAAACAAAAGAAATAGAAGCTCTGGTCTGTGCGGCTCAGTTGGATGAGTGTCATCGCATGCACCAAAAGCTCTCTGATTCCCCATCAGGGCACATGCCTTGATTGCAGGCTCAATCTCCAGTAGTAGCCATGCAGGAGGCAGCCTATCTATGTTTCTTTCCCACACTGATGTTCCTCTCTAACTCTCTCCCTTCCTCTCTATCTCTAAATATTAATTTTTAAAAAACATTTTTTTCTTCTTAATAAGAAAGAAATAGGAAGCAACACTTACCAGTTGTTCCTCCTCCAGGTTCAGAGTCAGCCGAAATGATGCCAGGATATCTCAGGCATCGGAAATCTAACCCATACCGGTAATAATAATACTACAAAAGAAAGAAAACTTAGTTTAAAAAGAACCTTCCAAATCAGATAGAGCAATACAAAGAAATAACAGCCTTTTTTCTGAAATATCTTCCCATGCAGTTATATTAAAATTCTGCTGAAGGAAAGGAAGACTCTAGAATTTCTAACAGACTCGTTTTTCTTTAATAAAGAACTTCAACTTTTATCTTCAAAGAATCATCATCCTGGGGTTACATCAACATTGTAAATAGTAACTCAGCCCACAGTAGGGATATCTACCCTTTTCTGGGGGAGAGTCCCTGCTCATTGCCCTGCAAAATTCTCCCTAAGCAGGTCCCTGCACGGCAACACTGGGAAGAGTACAGGGGAGGACAGCGGGTGATGGGAGGGCAACGACTGTAACATCAGCTGAAGGATCAGACACCAACTAAAATTTGCTAGAAAGTTATAAAGACAAAGAGTGTAAAAGGATAAAACCAGCCCTGGCAGTTTGCTCAGTTGATTGGAGCATCATCCCATATATCCTAAAGTTGTGGGTTTGATTGCTGATCAGGGCACATACCTAGGTTGTGGTTTCCATCCCCAGTTAGGCCCAGCCGGCATGGCTCAGTGACTGAGCACCAATCTATGAACCAGGAGGTCACAATTCGCTTTCCAGCCAGAGCACATGCCCATGTTGTAGGCTCGATCACTGAGGGGTGTGCATGAGGCAAGCCAATCAATGATTCTTTCTCATCATTGATGTTTTTCTCTCTTTCACCCTTCCTCTCTGAAATCAATAAAATGTATTAAATCCCCAGATGGGCCCTGCAGGAGGCAACCAATCATTGTTTATCTCTCTCTCTCTGTCTGTCTGTCTCTCTCTCAAAATTAATAAACAAAAATAAAAAAACATATCCTCAGGTGAGAATTAAAATATTATTTAAAGTTACCAACAACAACTACCAATAATGGGAGAAGAACGGAACAAAATAAAAGGGCAGCAAATGCCATTTGAGCAGCCTCTAGGAAGTGTTGAGTGGTACCATATGCTGAGGGCATATGAGGGCTGAGGGCAGGGGCATTCTTGTGGAGCTATCTGTATATGCCGTTTTGCAAACATAATCAGTTTATGAGCATTTTTGGGGGGCTGGGATGGGGAAGGGGAAGTCCCTCCAAGGATAAACCAGCAGGTGTCTGAGGCAAAAGAACAAAAATGAAAACACGGAGTCATCTTGCCATGCGTACCTCTCCCATGAGCTCGGCGTGGACCTTGGAGACCCCGTAGATCGTCCTGGGTCTCTGAACGCAGAGATCAGGGGTTGGGTCCCGGGGAGAAGTAGGTCCGAAAGCTCCGATGGTGCTGGGCACAAACAATCGCAAATTGTGTTCCAAGGCGATGTCCAGAACATTATGCAATCCTGAAACCAACATCACAGTATCACAACTGAACAACCTCTTGCTGAAGAACTGGAAAAATTGACAAACAGGTCATACTGGGCAAGACTCAGAGACTTACCGGTGATATTTACTGCTTTTGCCAAGGATACGTTTGTTTCTCCGATTGCACTGAGCAAAGCGCCATAGTGAATCAACCAGGTGATGCGGTGATTTACCACTATCTCTCGGAGATTCTTGTAATCCAGAACATCGGAATAAATAAATGGGCCTACAAGGAACATGGTGAAGCCACAGAAGTGAGAAGTTCGGGGTTTTAAAAACTAAATGGTCCTCCCCACTCCTTGACTTGTGAATTCCTTTAATACCAACTTGGTAACTGAACCACTTGGACACTATTGGGCATTTTATTTATGGAAGAATCACCAACCACAACCGCCTCACAGCTGACAACAGCTAATGCCTATAAGGACTCAGACTTGCAGGCACTGCTCTAAGGGCTTTCTGCATATGTAGCTCTCACACAGCCTTTGAGGTAGATAGATATGGAGGCACAGAGAGGTTAAGAACTTGCCAGAATCAGAGTAAGTTGGAGAAATTTGGTCACAACCAGGCAATTGGCTCCAGTCATCATTGTTAACATCAACCCTACATGCAGAGTGATTTCACTCTGCTTAAAAGTAACATATTTTTAAAGGAAGAAGAGAAATGGGTTTAAAAACCAAAACAAAATACTGTGGTACAGAACAGTGATTTTCAATCAATATGCCACAAGAACTTTTAAAACATGCTCTTTAGTCTGGGGACCTGACCTCTTTTTCCTTAGATTGTCAAATAAAAAAATGGCCCTATTCAATTTGGCTCAATGGATAGAGCATCAGCCTACAGACTAAAGGGTCCCAGGTTTGATTCCAGTCAAGGGCACATGCCAGGGTAACCAGTGCCATCCCCATGCAGGAGGCAGCCAATCAGTGATTCTCTCATTATCGATGTTTCTATCTCTCCTCTCTCCCTTCCTCTCTCTGAAATCAATAAAAATATATATTTTTAAAATGCAATAGCCAACACAACAATAGCCATCTGGTATGGATGAATGAAAATTATAACTATTCTTTTTGTCAGATAGGCAAAAATATATATTTTAGAGTGTCACAGAATTTTAGTAATTAGTTTATGTGTACAATGAGATGTAAAGGTTGAAAATCACTAGTATAGAAGAACCACAAATCATGAATTTATAGTACCCTGTTAATTTGAAGGTAAAACTGATTTTGTTCAATGCCAATTTTCCCATTATAGCAAATTACTGTTCTTCCCCTCCATAAACAGCAAAAGAATGGTATTGAACCAGAAAGAACTAGAAGACATTATAAAAATATTTCTGATTTAGTGGAGTTAGGAGAGTTTGAGATTTTTTTTGTGTGTATGTGTGCGTGTGTGTGTGTGTGTGTGCTTGCGCGCGCGCGCACGCGTGTATATACACAGTAGATTAAGAGCAAGTCTATGTTGAAATATGAGGATTAATTTCTCAAAAATTTTAAAGTTCCTCATTATAGGATTTGAGTTTTGTAGGCTGGCTCTCTGATCCAATAAGTTAACTAAAACCTAAAAAAAAAAAAACAAATAAATAAATAAATAAATAAATAAATAAATAAATAAAACAGGAAATGCTGTTTTGGCTGGTGTGGTTCAGTGGTTGAACATCGACCTATGAACCAGGAGGTTGCATTTAGATTCCCCATCAGAGCACATGCCCAGGTTGCGCACTCCATCCCCAGTAATGGGGCGTGTAGGATCAATGATTCTCTCTCATTATTGCTGTTTCTATCTTTCTCCCTCTCTCTTTCCCTTCCTCTCTAAAATCAATATATATATATATATATATATATATATATATATATATATATGTGTGTGTGTGTGTGTGTGTGTGTGTATGTTAAAAGAACAGTAATCAATGTTTTTATTCCAAAGATACTACTCCACGTGATAGCCAAAGATGTTATTAAAAAACTTTACATTCAGCACTCTCATATTCTTGTCACACTTGAATGAGCAGCAGCATGACTATAGACATTTTACAGAACTACCAAGGACACATCTGTGCGTCAATACTTCTCCTTTAATGCACATGCCTGGTTAAGAGTTGTGGCACACAGATTCCATGAGCTGCTTCCCTAACTGCACTTTGGAAAGTAAAGATAAAAACAAAAGCAATGATCTCTCACCACTATGGAACACCTGGTCGGAGGGTTTTCTTATGTCAGTCAAAATCACATTGTCTGTCCCAAAGTGTTCCCTAAAGGGAAAATCCATACACATGAGTTGGTACAGCTAGGATATAATTGGTTCTATGAAAACAGTCTTTCAAATAAGAATTGTAACTTGCAATCAGCCTCTGAATCCCCCGTATCTTCCCCCATGCCTTTTCTCCCTCTTCTTTCCAAACACACACACGGCCAGTTCTGACCACACTCAGGCCTCCCTCTCCCTTTCGCAGCCCCATCTTCTGTTCCTACTTCCACCCCTTAGCATCCCTACATTTGCCATCAATTTCTTCCCTGTACCCATAAGTTTACCTCAGCCTCCCCATTCTTCTCTTCTTGCTCTTATTTTTTCATCCTGCTCCCTCTAAATCCCACACTATTCCTTGTCATACTTCCCTCTGCCCCTAAACATCTAAAAATCAAGTGATTCATTTAGAGTTAGGTGTCTTACTCTGTCTAAGTGAGAAA